AATGTTGTTTTCTCCGACGGTCACCCTCGCCGGTGCTTCCGTCCACACCTGCATCGTGTAGAGAAAAGCACCATCATCTATTGTCACTTCCTTTGGCACGTCAGACCCGTTTCCTTTGATTTTGATTCTCGCCCATTTAAGATGATTTCGCAGTTGGGTTTCTTCTTCTGTTTCTATCCACCCCCATAAAAGTCCCCAATAGCTTTGAAGGTGTGGTGCTCCCAGAAGTGTAACGGCAGACCCACCACCCTGATCCAAATTGCGTTGGTTCTATCTCCCCCTGCTGACGCACACACTGTTGGACTCCACCACTGCATTTTCACCGGCAAGTTTCTCCATACCCAATCCCCTTCGACTACTTGTTCCGCTGTTACCTTGGATGCAAATTCGAAAAGGAAAAAACCTTCCCCCATATCATAAATGTTCAGGCCATGGACTCTTTTCCATAAACTACTTGCCCATCTTCTCACCTCTGTCAAGGTAGGTGCCTCGCCTTTACTAGTCATAAATTCGCCCACCAAACTCTTCTTCAGTACCTCGCTTTGGATGTTTGCATCTCTATTAATGCAGATTCTGCCCCCCCTCTTTATTATCTTTTCTGGCATGTCCTTCCTCCACTTATTAGTCCATTTGCTGCTCTTTAGCATATCCACATAGGGAATATTACTATCAACCAGTCTATGTGTCTCTAGATTCCCCACACGCTTGTAACTATGGATGAATCTTCCAATCTTCTCTGCAATACCTGACCATCCTGAGTTAAAAGATAATTCAGGGACTATAATGACTGCCCTTTTTTTACCTCTAACATTTATCAGGCTGATGTATCTTCCGTATTTGTTAAAATTCCTTGCGCAGTAGATCTCTATGAAATCATCCTTTTTCTTCCACCTTCTGACTGTGTTCCCCTTAGCCTTGGATGCTTCTCGCATAATCGAAGATATCCATTCCATGTCCTTGCCAGTGAAAGATATCCTCGTTATTGACTTTCTACTCCTTTCTGTCCAGTCATACCATTCCCCTGCTGTGCCTGATGTTCTTGTGATGTCATATGATTTGAACCCTACTGCAAAATAGATCGTGTCGTCCATAATGGAAAAGAAACGAGCCCAGTGGCAAGAAAGAAAAGAGATGAAAGGAAGAAAAAGAGGAGGAAAAGAAAAAGATGTCCGGTGATCGGAAGGATCACCGGAGGAAGATAGTGAAAACTAGGCTATATCATGTCCTCGGGAGTTGTGCCTGGGAGCTAATTGCTGGCTGTACTTCTGAGTGTCAGATCCTCTTCTCACATTTCTCCAGAACATTATTCGAAATGCCTTTTGACTTGCTCTTATCCTCCAAGGGCATACCAAGGTACAGTGTGGGGAGTTCTTCTATTTTTCTCCCCCAAAATTTTGCTAACACATTTATGTTAGGCATCTTGTTAACCAGGTAAATGAAGCTTTTCCCCCAATTAATGTGTAACCCTGAGATGGCTTCAAGCAATATCAAGATAATTCTTAAATACTTTAGTTGGAAGCTCTCTGCATCACAAAAAATCAGGGAGTCATCAGCATATTGTAAATGTGATATGGACAGGCCCTGTCTATCATTTATGTTGGGATTGAAACCTCTTATCCATCCTTTTATTTGAGTTGTTCTAAGCATGTCATGTAGTCCTTCCATTACCAGAATAAAGAGAAAGGGAATAGGGGGTTCCCCTTGTCTTGATCCTCTCTGAGATGAGAAGAATCCAAAAGGAGATCCATTTATCAGAATGGAAAACTTCACAGTTGTGATGCAGAATATCATCCATTTTATCCATTTTTCACCAAAACCCATACCCTCCAAAGTCTTCCAGAGGAATCCCCAGTGAAGGTGGTCGTAGGCTTTTTCAAACTTACATGGGATCCCTGGGACCTTGCTGATCTTTCTGACATCCACACTCTCATTTGCAATCAAAATTGCATCCATGATCTGTCTGGTTTTTATAAAGGCCAATTGCTGAGCATCCACCAGCTTGGAGACTACTTTCTTGAGCTTTTCAGATAGAATTTTTGATAGAATCTTGTAAATGCTGCCTACTAGACTTATGGGTCTGAAGTCCTTCAACTCCTTTGCCCCAATCTTTTGTGGTATCAGAAGGTCGCGTTGAAACTTTTTTTTTAAAAAGCTCTAAGCATGGAAGTTTTGTACTGATGCAACTACTTCTTTACTGACCACATCCCAACAAGCTATGAAAAATGTCATGGTGTAACCAATCGTCAGGCCAAGGTGCTTTATCCCTAGCACATGCCATAACACAGTCTTTTATTTCCTTTTCACTGAATCTAAGCTTCAGAAAACCATTAAATTACTGAGTAACAGAGTTTTAAATTGTCTTGGAACAGTTTAAAGGGAGGTCAAATAGAAAGGATTGTACAATCTGGGAAGGGCACAAGCAGGGGAAGAAGTTTTCAGATAAATTAACTTAAAAAGGAATTGAACAATCTAGGTGATTCATGATAAGTTTTCATATAAAGTTGTGTGGTTATTGGGGAAAAAAAGTAGTTTTGATTCATGATAATTTTATAACCAAGTTTGCTCAAGATGTTAATGGACATTTTTTTACATTGCAAACTAGACAAGTCGGTTATGGAAAATACTCATTAAGTGGTAGTCAATCTAGCATGCTGGAGAGAGGGAGGATATCTCTTTTAGGAAGAAAGGGCATTAGCAATAAGAATTGAATTTCCTTTTAAATCATCAACTTGAACAGCAGCCGGAGCAGGATTACTAATACTAATGCAGTGGTTGCAATTTCATATTAGGTCTAAATTCTAATACAACCAAAGTTGCGCTCCTGTTCAAATTTCCACTACTACTTCATCGAACAGATTAAAAAGAAACACCAATCCAATCCAATCCAGACTGAAAAAGAAGTAAACTTACCCTAATACGACGTAAGATCCTGGAGATTCAATTAATTACCCATTTCTGAATTCTGATCGCCCACAAACTTCAACTTGTGGATCAATAACGACGACTTCTCCAACTGCAATCCCTATTCTTTATAATTTACTTGAGGTTCCATTAAAGTTTCAAAATGTAATATAAATTAATTAAAAAAAATTATGACCATTGTTTTCTAAAACAAAGGAGTACTACTTTTTTTAAGAAAAGAACAATGGACCAAATATATTCCGTGTTGTCATAAATATATGAGAAAATTATATATAATAGCAAACTATTAATTCAAATTAAATGTTATAAATATACTTTGATTTAACTGTATCATATAGTAAACTATTGCTATTTTCGCCACTCTCCCTGGTGGAATCTTGCTCGCCACTCTCGTTTGGTGGCAGTCTCGCTCGCCTCTCTCGCTTTTATACAAACACAAATGTATAAAATGTGTTTGTGTTTGTATAAAGCGAGAGAAAATTGTATTTATACATATATTTTCGTTCCCCTCTTCCCAGATCTCGCTCGCCACTCTCCCAAATCTCGCTCGCCACCCTCGCCTCTTTCGCTTATACAAACAGAAACAAAAATGTATAAATTGCGCTTATGTTTGTATAAAGCGAGAGAAAATTGTATATACACATGTAAATACATATATCTTCGTCTTATACACTTATAATTATACAATACAAATATTTCTCTGCCCAGTTTTCTTTTGCCTTTCTCTCTTTCTCGTTTTATACATACACAGATTATACAATTGATCTTTTGTATACAATCGCTTTCCTTTGTATATGTATAGTGAATTATACAACTGCTTTCTTTGTATATGTATAGCGAATTATACAACCGTTTTTTTTTGTATATGTATAGCGATTATACATATATATGTTTGCTATGGAGCGCAATTATGCAAACTTTGCTATACCATACAAGTATGAATTTTGTGTTTGCTATATCTAAAAGTTGCTCTAAATATATTTCTATTATAGTGAACTAGTATACGTGCCCACGCGTTGCACGGATGATTTAAAATGTAATAATTTTATAATTAAAAATAACTAATAAAATGTATTATGCACTTAATAATATATTTGATACATTATAGTAATAATAATATAATAATACAAATCATTAACTTATTTATTTAAGCACATTAAATTAATATTATTAGTACACGATTTAATTTATTGTATTACTATTATATCTATAGCTATATTAGCTATACTTTTAGTTTTATAAGATATTATGTTGAATTTTTTCTAAGAATACCATTAATTTTGTGATTATTTTATTTTGATCAAACATCAAATGCATTAAATATTTTTATTTGTTTGTACTTTGTTCTCTGTATATGGTTTGAATAAAAAGAATACGTTAATACTTTATTATATCTAATATTCCATATGAAATATTTTATATCATAAGATTAAATAACATGCTAATATATATATATATATATATATATATATATATATATATATATATATTT